TACATATAAAACCTAGAGGAAAATCATTAAAAGATTTTCTAAATTTATAAAATTTGGATTTTCTTACATGATAGAAATATTCTATTATCCATTTTATCAAAGAAAAATGTATTTTTTATTAAATTAAGATCATTTATAAAATAACTTTAATAGAGAAATAATTTTAACTTATTTTAAAAAATTTAGAATAAACAGAATAAAATTGTTATAATAAAAAAAAACTTGGAAGCTTGTGAGATGTGATAAAATTTATCAAGAAAAATATCAAAATTTAAATGCACAATTTAAATTTATTGAGAAATCATCTAATTCTGATCGAAATTATTAGAATTTCAATCTAAAACCACAATTTTACCGAATAGATATAACTATATTCTTTTGTTATTGTCAACTGGATTTCCATTAACGAATTATATAAATTGATGTTTTTAATAACCAATAATTATTATGATTAATAAATTTAAAACAGTTTTTAGATAAATCTCCACATAAGTTGAAATTTACTTTCCAAATGATTGAAAATGATGAAAGTGATTCCATCATTTTATTAAAAATAGCCTTTGTTGACTCTTTTATATTTAAAAATAAAAGTTTCAATTTTATTTCTTCCATATAAGAATATGTATATTTTTTTTAATTAAGTTTCTAATTTCTATTATAATGGATTAATAAGAAGAAAACATAGAAAATAATTAAGAGAATTTCACATAAGTTTTTAAAAGATTTAAACTAAAATATGATCAAGCTAAACCTTTAAATTTAGCTAATGTTTAAAACACAGCAGTTGCAATTTTTGGATTGACAAAAAGTGGAAAATCAACATTCTTTCATTTACTTAAAGGAGATAGGCTTATAACTAATTAAGATACGATGAGAGTACAAGTAGATGGTTAATAGGAAAGTTTTATAGGACATGATTTCTAAAGTTATACAAAAAAAGTAAATCAATTTACCATTCAATCTGATCCATGTTTAGATTTGATTGATTCTCCAGGAATTGAAGACACAAGTGAAGATTATGATGAAATAGCATCTTCTTTACATTTAATTCGGTTATTATAAGAATACAAAAGAATTATCTTTCTTTTAGTTATTCCCATGGATTATTTCTCGAGTAGTTAAATTTAACTTTCTTTAAATTATGTATACAACTTAATGTAATCAGAGAAGGATATTAATTATCTTTGTTAGTAATAGATGATAGCATTGATAATCAATAGAACCAGAACTTCAGATTATGTTAATGAAAAATAAAAAATAATGTAGAGTTTTCGTGGAATTTAATAACAAGGATTTTAAGCAATAAATTTATTACATTATTTTTAATAAGGTATAAATAACAATGTCTTTTTTCTAAACCAATCCCCAGACAAGCATCATTTGGATGAATGTCGCCTCAAAATATTAAATTTTATTTAATTAAGAAAATTGAACTATTAAAAAATTTTTTATAAATTCAATCTATCTAATAAAGGTAAAATTACAACATATAATTTTATAAAATCATTATCTTAGTTTTGTTAGGAATAATTAGAAAACTAATTAAAATTGATGTTTTAAAAAATAAATTAGCTAGAAATAGAAAAAAGAATTATTATATTTCTATTTTTAAATTCTCTCCATCTAATTTAAATTCCTTTGCAGTTATTTTTTAAAATATAAAAGTTAATCTAAGAGAAATTTCAAATTTTTCAATTACAAGATTGCCTATCTTAGGCATTAATAAACATTTAATAAGAATTTGATGAAAAATATTTATAGTTGATATGCGAGTTGGATTTTAATTATAGTATTTAAATTTCAGAAGATATCACAAATTAAATCAATAACGATTTAAATCAATATTACAAAAAAAATCTATAGAATAAATTGCAAAATGAAGAAGAAATTAATTTGTTTCAATAAATTTCAAAAGCTCTAATTTAATTTAGAGATTTAAATTATTGCGATTAAATTAATATTTTTATTGGCTTACCTCTTTGTGGAAAAACTTCAATTATTAAACACATCTATAATAACCCCTGTATGAATTAAAATCCTTTTTCGAACAACTAACTCTAGTTTGATCAAGATTTAGTGAAATATTATTTTAAAAATAAAACCAAAATCATAGAGTTTAGATCACTCTAGGTCGAAGTTTTAGTATTATTATAATATTTTTTTAATTTTTGTTAGGAAGATAATAAATAGTTTAGGATTTATGTTGTTATAAATAGTAATTAAGAAGGGAATAATAAATAAATTATAAATCTTTTAGAATTATTTATCAATTTTAATAATTTTTAAAATTTAAGTTTTATCTCCTATATATAAAATATATAGTTTATTCAAAATATTCAAACATAATTTATCTTATAAAGTACTGAGATCGTTAAATTTTTAACTTTAAAAAGAAATTTTGACTAATTTGAAGAAATAGAACATAATTATATGCCAGAAGAAATAAATATTTAGTTAAATAATCTAAATATGCAAAGTTTCTATTAAATTAGCCATATATTAGATGTTTAACTATAAATAATAATTGCTAGAACAAGAGATTTAATTAACTAATAAAATTAGAGAATTAATTGCCTTTCTCATTATCGGAAAAGTTAATTAAATCATGAAGATGTAAATGTATTTATAGCTTTGAGTGAAATTGATCTATAGTCTTAAAATCGTTATAAACAAATAAGAACTCTTTATTCAATATTAAATATAAATGATGAGATAATGTAAAATTAAGATTCGTTTAATGTTTTTTAGAAAATTAAAAAAGCCATAAACCTTTTGACATTGGGAGAATAATATTAACTATTTCTAAAAAAACACTTCTATATAATAGAGTGGTGTGATTAAAAAATTTAAATCATTTACAAAATCATTGATAATTTTTAAACTATAAAAAATATCAATTAACTAGATAAAATCCAGTTATTATTAAAAATTTCTGAATTATACCCAGAACCCTTATTAGAAAGAAATGATATTGAAATGTTACAAATATTATAGGATTTCTATTCTTCATTTATTAAACCAAATTAAATTGGTTAACCAAACAATAATAACTAATATATAAAAGAAAATTTACCTGAACTGACCATACTATTAAATACATTTTAGTCAGCAACAAAAAAATTAGAAAATATTGCTAAATTAATCAAAAAATCACAAAAGTATGGTTTCACAGCTTAGGATAGTTAGATATTAAAATTTTTCTTACATACCATTGTTTATTTGCTTTTTGATCTTTATGAGAATAAAAGAGTAGTAAAGTAGTTAAAATACAATTAAATTGCAAGAGAATACTATTTGAATGATCAAAACTTTAAGAATATTTGATAGGATTATCAGGAAAATTGAGTTATTAATATATATATTTATGTGATAATAATTTAATTAAATTTTATCCAAGTATGAAAATACACTCAAAAGAACTATAAGAAACATATTTATATAATTTAGTATTCTTTTTTTAATATCTCTAATCTAAAAGAAGAAATATATAATTCAAAACATAATCTATTGAACTTTAAGATATTTTAATTTTTAACTCAAATAAAATATAGAGAAGATAATAAATTAAGAATCTAATATTATTAATGATTTCATAATCTTATTCTATGAATTTAGTTAATTCCGAAATCTATAATTAAAATTTATTGAATTACCAACTTATGATCTATAAACTTTAAAAAAATATTATATTTTGGTCAATATTTTTAAAGTATAAAGTATTTGATTTAAAATTCATTATAATTTTTATTATTGTGGAATTGGATAAAAATGAATCTATTGAAATAAACCCTTTATAGGAATTTATTACTAAATCTAAAAAGTATTTGGATGAAAACAAAACCAATCATTCTAGAACAGCTGCAATTTTAATGGGAAAAACAAGAGTAGGAAAGTCAACTATATTTCATATTTTGAAAGGTGACGAATTGGATATCAACGCAAAAAGAAAACTATTTCTGAAGTAGCCAAATTGCTTAATTGGATTAGATGGAAAGTCTTGCACCAAAACTCCAAATATTTACCATTATTAATTTAAAAATTAGGATGCTCAAGATGAAAATATAGACATTATTGACACTCCAGGATTCGATGATAATGCTGATAAATTAGATGATACAATCTAATAGATTCATTTATTTAAAATATTAAATTCTTATAGTAAAGTAATACTTATTATTTTAATTAAATTTGATGAAGATGATCGGGCTTCTTATAGAAGACCACTATCATATGCTTAAGACTTTTTTAAAGAGTAGTAAGATATTAATTTAATTCTTGAGAATTTCGGAATATGTCTTATTGTTAATTAGATCAAAGAAGACGGATTAAATGATTTTTAACGTTATATTGCAGAAGATATCTAAGATTAAGAAAAAAATAATAACAATGATGATGGGAAAGAATCATAAAAATATAAACTTAAAAAAGATTTCTTAATAAAAATAAAAGAAAATGTATTTTCATTAGAGTTTGGGGCAGTAAAAAATAAATAAGAAGATTTAAAAAAATAGATATATAATTTTATTACAAAAAATAGGATTAATTATAAGAATGTTTTTTTTAAAATGAGTCTTACAGAGGCAGGGAAAATATTTATTTAAAATGTGTTTGGACAAATTAAGTATGTATGTGAGTTAGAAATATCAAACACAATTACAGGATTCATTGAGGAAACCAAAAAATTGACAGATTTAAAAGATAAAAAATATTTACTAATAGATTTTTTTCAAATTATTTAAGAATAATTTTCATTAGAATATGTTAAAGATTTGTATTTTAATTATTTTAAACAAATATTTTAAAACTAAATTTATGACTAATGTAAATCTAAGAAACTTGATGAATTAGAATTTTTATTTTCAAATAATATTATATCAAGCGTATTAATCAATTTAAGAGAAACCTTAGAAGATAAAAAACTTTTGTTTATTTAACTCAAAGATATTAAAAAAAAAGTTTGGAATGAAATAAAAGATATTTAAATTTAAATATAAAATACAATAAAACTTAATGAAACAGAGGAACTGATATTTAATGCTGTTGAGAAAAGCATAAAAAGGTTTTAAAATCTTTTTAATTGGGATAGATTGCTTATTTTTCTTGGAAATCCTTAATCGGGTAAAAGTTCAACTATAAACTTTTTGTATAAACAAAAGTTAATTGAGAAGCAATCTCTTTTGCCTTTCATTATGTAAACGCATTTTGAAGAAATTTAAAATGAAAATATAATCGAGTTTGGATCTATAGAGTAAGACTAAATCATCGAATTTTAGGAATTTTCATATGATTACATTTTATTGCTTTAATATTTTGTTTTCTTAAGTTAAAAAAAAAATAAGGAATGTTTTATATTTATTGTAATGAGGGAAGGTTAAGAATTAAATTAAAAGATATAGTTTGGCTTAGAAACGTTTTTAAATTTAAATAGAATATAAAAAAATGATGTTTTCAACTTCATAAATTTCAAAGTTGAATAATAATCTAATGATAAAATTATTGTGAGTTTAAATAATCAAATAATTTAATTAGATAGAAATTTCTTTACCAATTTTTAAAATATATCATTATTTTAAAAAAATAATATGCCAAATTTTAAAGGTTTTCCAAAAATTCAGATAAATGATTGGATTTTGAACATTATACTAGAACCATACAATAGAAAAATTAATTCTATAATTGAATCATTTAAAGAGAAAGTTGTTAAACTTATTGATTCACATAAATTTTTTCCAGAATAAATAAAAAATTAGAATCTATTGCTTTTGATTAAATTAATCGAATTAAATCCAGAAAAAGAAAAAATCGAATTTTTAGAAGAAATTTAAGATTGTTTAAAATTAATTAGAAATGAGGATAAATTATTAATTGAAAATGAGTTTAGAATTAATAGAGATAAAGACAATTATGAAATAATAAAAATTATATTTAAAACCCTAATACGTTAATACAACATAGCAAGTTTAATAGTTTAAGTTTGCCAAGATTGTGAGGAAATGTTTTAAAATGTTGATTAAATTATTCATTATTGTGAATAATAATATGCAGAAAAAGATTAAATGTTTATTTTCAGATTTTTGAAAAAATGTTAAAAAATTAATTCTGAATTTCTAAGTGGTTAAGAATTATAAAGTATTGATATTTTAGAATCTATTTATAATATATTAGAAGAAGATCTTTTAAAGAAAGAATAGGAGTAGCGTTTTTAATTGCAGATGAATTTTTAATAATGGATGGAGTTTAATTTGATAAAAACTAAATAAATACTTCCATAATATGAATTTTATGAATTGCCTAAAGAATTAAATTCATTCTAATCAGAATTACTAAATTTTATTCATTTAATGTAAGAATTGTTAAAATTTATAGAAAATACTTAGAAAAATGGTTATGAATTTTCTAATTCTTGGTTTCCTTTTAATATAATTTATTTGGTTTAATCTATTTTTTAAGATAACAATAACAATAAAGAATAGAAAAGGATTATAGAAAACATAAATAAAGCTCATCAGAATATAATGTAAAAAATAAATTAAATGAAGAATATTTAGTGGAGAAGAACAGCTTATGCTCGCTTTTCAAATAACCCATTTTTAGAGAATTGTTTTAAAATTTAGTTTAGCAAGGAAGAAAATAAAACTGAAAAAAGAAAAAATAATTTAAACGAAATCGACCTATAATAAAACATTAATGAAATAGATCCATTAAATTATTAATAATTAAAATATTACCATTACTTTTATTAAAATTAGAGAAACATTTTACAAAGAATATAGTTTCCATAAAATTTCTATAATAATTATAATATTTATATGGAATAAAAAAGTTAAGAATTTAGAATAGCCTAAGAATGGTTAGAAAAATAAAAAGATAATTTTTAAAAAAATTGCTATAATTCTTTTAATGTATAGAACCAAAATAAAATTTAAGAATTTTTATAAGCCGAGAACTATTTTTAAGGCCAATTTGAATGAAATCAACAATTCATGGGAATAAAGTAATTATTAGGATTGAAATTATAGATTTATGCACAAAAAATTTATAAAAATATTTTATTCTTAGATATTAGATATATTAAATTTTAAAGAATATTATTATAAGATTTATATAAAAATGTAATGACTTGAATTAATATTAAAATAAACATATATATTAGGATTAATCTTTGGAAAATAAAGATTGATATAAAATACAATAATTCATGATACTAGAGTAATTCTATCGTTTTGATCTCCATGAATTTGAATTTAGTTAAGTGATGAATATGTATTTAAAAACTCTTCAATTTCTTACATTTAAGATCCTTTGCTCATAGCTTATCTAATAAATTAATCTTTATTAATTGTTCCTTTATTTTTATTACATAAAGATGATAATAGTTCATATAATTTAGCAGTCTTATCTTTTCTTTAAACAGTATCTAAAAAATAAATAAAATAGATACCATCTATTTGTTATGCTCTCCTAACACTTTCTTATGAAATATCCATCAATCTAATAGCCTCTTCAACATCTCTTTGTGTGACTCTATCAGCCAATTGCAATTTAGCCTAAAATATGAAATGTATAAATAATTACAATAGCTTATGATAATCTAATGATGGCTAACAAAGTTCTTGGTGTTGTATAAGAATATCCATCAAGTGTTTTATCAAATGTTTATTTTCTTCTTTCAACATATTAATCAGCAATATATTAATGTATTTCTGAAGTGAGTATAGGTTCATATTATTTAGACAAAGCAACAAATGTAGTAATTTCATCAACTGAATATAAATCTTGATGTTCCATTTCCTTATATTTATTTTGATGAACTCTACCAATATGTGATGCCAATTTAGTATCAGCATCTTGATTGATTTCATCTAATAAAATGAATATAAGATCAAATCTAGATAATAAAGCAGCAGGAAGGTTGATATTTTGATGTGGTGTTTATTTTTTATTATATCTTCCATATAAAGGATTGGCAGCTGCTAAAATAGATGTACGGGCATTAAGAGTAGTAGTAATACCAGCTTTAGCAATACTAACAGTTTATTATTCCATAACTTCATGAATAGCTGTTCTATCACTTTCATTCATTTTATCAAATTCATCAATACAACATACTCCCCTATCAGCCATAACTAAAGCACCTCCTTCTAATGCCATTTCACCAGTGACTGGATCTCTAATAACTGCGGCTGTAAGACCAACACTAGAAGATCCTTTACCAGTTGTATAAACTCCTCTTGGTGATACTTGAGATATGTATCTCAACAATTACGATTTTGCTACTCCTGGATCTCCTATTAATGCTACATTTATATCTCCTCTTATTTTTAATCCATCATGCATCTCTTTGCTTACTCCTCCTACAATCATTAATAATAATGCTTTTTTAACATCTTCCATTCCAAAGATTTCAGGAGCAATTGATTTCGCTAATTTCATATACAAATCACTAAATGGATATTTTTTAATATCTTCAAAAATCTTATGACCATGTACACTTTCTATGTCAATTTCTTTGAATTTCTTTTTATCTCTTTTAATATGAAATGCTTCTATATATGTACTATAAAATTAGGTTTTGTTTGCAAAGAATCCCTCTTTTTCAACAGGTAAAAAGATACCTTAAATAGTAACAATATCTCCAGGAGAACAAACTCTAATATTGCTATCTCCTCTAGCCATAACTGTAAATGATCTAGGGATTGATCCTTTAGGTAATTATTCTTTAAGTTCTTAGATTTTGATTTCTTAATTAGATATAAACTTAGAACTGCCATGATTGAATATCAATCTACCTCTTACTTTATTATCTCTACATTTATCACTTGCACAATCAAGCATTGGAGTGAATGTTTTGCCATGAATTGTTTAATAGTTCTCATATCCACATGCATCACATGAAAAACATGCAACTATAATTTATGGTCTAACTTCTGATGTTCTAACAACCATTGCTTTTATCGTAATTAATGAGCCAATCAATTAAGCTTTAAGATTACGTATTGATAAGATTTATTATTTTGTTTATGGACCTCGAATTATAAAAAGTTAGCTAGATTTATACACATTAATATATACTATCTACGAATCAATTCTGGAGGTAATCTCTTCTATTGGTTATTATTTCCATCTTACTCTAAATTCTATTGTCTCTGTGCATTAATCTCTTCATCAAATAAATCAAAGTTTTATTCAAAATCTCTAGTTTATTGAGGCATAAGTCTATCACAAGCATCATATAGCAATCTTTGATAGGATAAGGTATTTGTCTTTATTTTATTAACGAAATCTATTCTATCATTGTAGAAGTATTCAAGATCTTCGATGTAGATATCTATCCTATTAGTTTATCTATTTGCAATTTTTTGCTATTTTACTCTCAATAAAACCATACCAACTCTATCATATATTTGCGTTAACCATATGTATTATCAATTTCTACTATTGAATTATCACGAAACTCTGCGAGAAACTCACTTAAACTGCTTATTTCTGTTGCATACTCAGGTACTAAAAATTGTCGCTTGTTATTTTGTTTCGCCATTTATTTTTATTATTGATCACAAATCGTGGGAATTTCATAAATTGGGCGCCAATTAATATTATATTTTTATAATTAATAAAATTTACATTTGCGCTTTTACTTGCTCATTATATCCAAATATCAAATATTCATATATATGCATCATAAAATATTTAATAATTTTAATAGAGAGTAATATTTATAATAAGAATGAATTGATAATCAAGATATAAAATTAGATTATTAAAATGAAAGAACTGTAATAATTGATATATAAATATATAATGAACCTACAAAAAAATCATAAATTGAGATGCACAACAAAAAATCTCTTAACTAACAATGATTTGACATATAATGTAATTTATATTTTATATAAATAAAATTAATCAATATGGTGAGTGCTTTTTCAATTGGTAAAGCGTAACGATGTATTTATGATGTTAAATAAAATCAGCCACAATTCCCAGAAGTGAAACACCTGGTCCAGGAGCTTATTAGCCAATGAAGAAATAGAAGATGACACCCCCATCATTCAAGTAATTTTTTGCCTGTTAAAATAGATTTGGATCTGGTAATAGAAGTGGGCTTCTAAAATTATTTGCTCCAGGACCTGGTGCTTATGAGCATCCTTCAAGAGTAACCAAAGAAGGACCAAAGTATTCATTTGGACTTAAGAAACCAACAATTTTAGCAAAATAGGGACCAGGACCAGGTATACATAAAGAATTGATTTATTTTCAGGAGCATATAATCCTAATTACAGAAATATGATTAAGGCACTTCCAAATTATTCAATGGGAAGCAAACTTTAATAAAACAACTCTACATTTTAACCAGGACCTGGAGCATATGAAAATCCATCAACAGTGATAGGAGTTCCTTGTATGAAGTATAGGTAGTTTTTAGTTTAAGATTTCCACATTCTAAACGTGATGGATTTTATGATTTGGTTCGTACTCCTGGGCCTGGATCATATTTAAAGAGACCAAATAGTGCTGGTCCTTAATATAGATTTGGAACAGCATCAAGAGGAGCTTCCTCAGAAGGCAAGAATCCTGGCCCTGGAGAATATGAAGCAAGAAGCGAGTTTAATGTTTCATAAAAAGGATTTTCTATGCTTTCTAGAAGAAATTAAACTTAATAAGAATTAGTACCAGGACCTGGAACTTATAATTGGGATAAGAAATAAAAATTACGACCTCCTTCTTATAAAATAGGAAATGAAACAAGAGATAGCTTAAATCGAGAATTACTTAGAACACCTGGACCAGGAACATATGAATCTAGATATGAATTTGCAAGACCTAAATCTGCATAAGTTCGTATAGGTAGTGCTACTAGAAGACCATTAAGTGATACAAGAGATATTCCAGGGCCAGGAACTTACGATATGAATACTAAAATAGGGGAAGGACCAAAACATTAAATCTTAGGTAGTAAGTATGAACCAACAACAACTTTAAATTAACCTGGACCAGGTGCTTATAATCCAAATGATGGACCAAGTAAATAACGTCCTGCTTCTGCTAAAATTGGAACAGGTTAAAGAGCTGAACTGAATGCTGGTTTTGGGAAAGATGTACCAGGTAATATTTATTTATTTAATTAAAGGACCTGGAAATTATAATCTCAGAGGTTAATCTGATGGGCCTAAATGGGGATTTGGAACATCCATGAGACCACATCTGAATTAAACTGATGGAAGTGTTCCAGGACCAGGAAATTATAATCTCAAACCAACTTTTGCAGATGTTCCATCATATCTATTGAATAAATGAATATATATCAATTCTAATATAATTATGGATGGAAATAAGAATTAGTTATTATAATTCTATTTATTTATAATAGGGTTGTCGTTTTTATAAATTAATTTTGAACAATTTATTTATTATTCAAAAAGTAAAAACGAATAGTGTGCAATGAAAAGTCAATATGCTTGTGATTTTATCTAATAATTTAATTATGAAATTGATTCTCATAGCTCTTTTGGGATTAACACTCACACAAGCTGTCTTTGTTAAGAGATCAAACGATCCAAGCAAGGCTGTCTTCACATAATTGGAAGCCATGGAAGAACACGAATTAGGAAGAAAATTGTTAGATACAATTGCTCTCTAATTGAACAACAAGGCCCCATTAGGAGATATTGCTAAAATGTTACAATAATTGAGAGAAAATCTCATCCTTAACTAATAAGAAGCTGACTAAAAGCATGCTTAAGATGAAGTTGATTGTGAAACAGAAATCTACTAATACAATAGAAGAATTGACTTTGCTTCCAATGAAATCACCGAATCAACCTAAGAAATCTAAACACTCAGTGCCAAGGTTGAATAATTGACATAAGATGTTGAAAACAAATAAGTTTAATTAGATATCTTGAATGAATAAGAAACATAAATCAGAGAATAAAGAGCTGAAGATGCTTAAAGTTTCACAACATTCGAAAATGAAACAGAAAACGTCATTGAAGCTGTTGAAGTCATCATCTAAAAATTGAGCTCAATCCAACCAGATTAAGAAGTTTTGGCTGCTTTAACATAATTGAACAAGATTGGTGCATCCAACCCAATCCTTGCTCTTATGTAAGTTGCTTCAACATTCTCAGCTGAATAATTGAACAATGTCCTCAATAAATTAGGTGAAGTCAGTGTCTAATTAGCTGAAGCTCTTGAAGATGCTAGATAAACAGAAATTTAAGCTTAATTAGATTTCGAAGCTTTAGTTGTTGAAATTGCCTCATAAAGAGAATCATTGAGTGCTGCCAGAGAAGACTCTGAAAGATAACTCTAAGATAACTAATAAGCTTTGGACTTATAAAAGAAGAGAAAGGAAGACGCCACTGATGAATTGAACGCCGCTTCATCAGGAAAGGAATAAAAGGAAGCTGAATGCGATTCATGGAGAACTTAATATGCTGAAGACTCTGAACACAGATAATAAGAAATCTCAATCATCAGATAAGTTGAAGAGATCTTAGCTACCAAGTTATCCAACGTCAAGGTTTATCTCTAAGAGAGATCATCAGCATGATATCAATTTAATTCTTAAAAAAATATATAAATCATACCTCTTTTAATATTTTTATTAATAACTATTTATATTCTAATTATTTACTATTAATGTTTTTAGATAACGAAAACATGAGCATGCGGCTCAAAATTGTAGAAGATCGATTAGGATTTATAGAAAATCTAACTTAATTGTAAGATAAACGAATCAATGAATTAACTAAATAATTAGATCATGTCATTCATTAATTTCAAGATTTGAATTTGGATCGTTGCAGAAATGATGAAGGTCTTACTTTCAAATTTGAACGCTTTGAAAAGACTCTGCTTATGTTACAAAGAGAAATGAATCAAATAGGTATCTATATATTGTTAATTTATAGCTACGCATCAAGATGAAAGAATTAATTAATTAATCAATTAATTAGTTGAACCTAGTTTTAAGGACATTGATATCTAAATTAAGTAAGAATCTTAAAGATTATAATTGTAATGTCAGAGGTAGTTAGATGAAATGTATGAGGAAATCATTAATAAATTTAAGACACCATAATAAAGCAGTTTTGTACAAGGGGGAAGAGTAAGCATAATTGAATCAACAACATAAGATGATACTAAGAAAAAGATTGATGATGAAATTAATAGAAGAATTTAGGAAGAAAATGAAAAGAGAAGGTCTTTTTTAGAAAGTGAAACTAAATAACATAAAAATGGATAATTGTCTACTGAAAAGTCTAGAGCAAGAGAAATTTAAAATAGATTAAATCTCGAGAGAAAAGCAAAACAAGATAAAATAAACCAACTAAACGAATTATATCAATTTAGAAAGCATTGAAAAAACCTATCTAAATAATTATCATACTTATTAACAAAATAATCAAGTTAATTATAAAAATAAGAGTAATAAAAAACATGCAATCAAATTTATTATTGTATAATGACCCTTTTCTCATCGTCTAATTATTTTTCTGTAATTAATTTTGAAATGAATCCAAATATTTTAGTTCTTCCTTCCCTTATTACTAGGATTTGGTCTGTTTTTAAATATTCAGCTGCATATAAGAATTTGAGTCTAAAGATTAAAATTAAATATACCTAACAGTATCAATATCTCCAGTTCTTAAGATTTCATGTCCAAATATGCTTTTGATTTCAACTGCCTATCTAACAACACCACAATGCATGACTGCTTGATATCCTTTACTCATCGTAGTTGGATGATGAAGTATATGGATGTTTGCCTAATTTAGATTTAAATGAAATACTTCAAATTCAACTACAGGTTCTGGTTTAAGAGCAGGATCAATAAGAATCATTCCCTTTCTGAAGTCAGCCCTTTCTAATTTATCACCAGCCTTAGATGGTTTAAGAGAGAAACAAGCAAATTCTCCAACTTAAGCAGAATCAACTAACATTCTATTGATGTGAATTGATTTAATTGTCACAGGTTTGAATTCTATATTAATGATTTATTTAAATACATTTATTTTTATCTGGACCTAAAAGTACATGCTAGTTTACAACTGCTTTTCCACTTCTAATTATACCACTTACTACATTTCCAACTCCTGGTACATTGAAATTTTCTTAAATGTCAAATTGCATTGGATCATTGATAGTTTAATAAGCTTTATTTAATTTAACTCTATTTGGAACTCTGCTTATAAATCTATTCAATTATTATAATCCAATTCCTGTAACACTTGAAACTTGAAATATGGGTACAACATTATTTCCATGCATTAATTCTGCCCATTTATCTATTTCCTTCATTTCAGAATTTTCATCAAATAAAACAGCAGTTCTTTTAATGGCAGGACTCTTTATCAATTATTTTACATGTTCAAGAGTGTCATTGTAAACATTTTCAGGGGCTATATCAATTTTAGTTAACACAATAGCAAATGGTATTCCCAAGAACATACTTACTCCTAGATGTTCTTTGGTCATTTTTGAAACACCCATATTTGCTCCTACTATTATTAATGAATAATCAGGAACCATTGCTACTAAACCAAATATTGTTGTTTTTAAATATTTCTCATGACCACATAAATCTAAGAATGTAACTATCTTCTGACTCTTCTCAACAATTTAACTCCAATATTTATTTTTATTTTGATTGAATCTCTCAGGTAATACTTATTTCTAATTTTCATCAAACCCCATAATTTCTTATGCAATAGATGAGGTTCTACCATTCTCTTTCTCATGCTTATAATTAAAGACACGCTACAATTAATTTATACTTATACTTCTCTTGCTCCACCTCTTCCATCATCTAAAAGTCCTTTTGTCAAAACACCTACTAATGTTGATTTACCAGAATCTACATTCCCTATTATTGCTAATTTACTATGATCTTTTCTTTCTATTTACATTATTATAATTATACAACTTATCCTTTTTATTTAATTACATTTAAATTATTAAAATTCTTTCTTTAATTCAATATTTAATTAAATTTTGTTTTTTTCACAACTATTTTAATAATATTTAATCATTTAATCATTTAATTATTTTTTATTTAATCTATAATTTATATTCATTCTATTATCTTTAAAAAATAAGATTTAATGACAATCATTTGAATTTCTATAATTCATAATGATTTACTTATATTTGTAAAAATTCTGTATTAATTTACTATTAATACTCTGAATACATTTTAAATTTCAATCAATCTATTCCAATTTTTTAAAAACAAATTGGAGTATAAGATCAATTAAAAAATGATAAATTTTATATTTTAAATGTTAATGAATACTTATAAATTCAAAGTTTTTCTTTTTTCTTTTAATCTTCATAATTTACAAAGGATCCTCTATTCATTCCTTTGAGTGATGAATAGTTATCCCATTCACCATTTCTTCCATCATTATATTTACGCAATAGGTAAACACCATTAGAGACAACCTTAAATGATAAGAAATATAAAAAACCTTCTTTGCATCTTATATTTCGACCATATGATGAGTGTCTCTATGAAGTTTCTTTAACAATGCAAGCTTTTCTTCATTTGGATTGAGTTTTTCTTTATCTGCAAGGTTAGGTGGAAAGTCTAGTGGCATTTTAGTTATATCTTTCTTTTTATAAGTTTAATTAAGAGGTAAAATTCTATTGATAGTATAATGAATGCTTTCTGGATTCTTTCTCATTTCAGCTGGAACTTTACAAACAAGTTTAGGATTTTTAAATCTATGAATTGGCTTATTAATTAGAATACTCATCCAGGCATTCATTCTAATTCTTCTATCTTCTAAAATAACATTCTAAAGATGATAAAATTTAAATCTATTATAATAATCTGTTTCTAGATCTTAAAATAATAATTCAATCATTTCTTTGGTGTAATGATTAGGTTCATTAAGATCGATGGTTTCAATCATTACATTAGCAGCATTACCTTTTTCACTGTATAACAATTCTAAGATTTCTTATTTATTCATTTCCTTAGCCAATGTATTTAATTCTTAATCAGTCATAATATGCTACATATTTCTACCTCCTTGTAAATGTGTATAACCATTACAATGAAATTAACACTTTTCACATAATTATTAATAAACTTATTTGATATCTTCTTCCTTTAATAATCTAATTGGTGGTAATTGAACTCTTTAAGGTAATTATGTTTTTGTAGCTGTTGTTGGTTATGGTCTTATTTTAATTCCTAATTTAGTTTATTCAGAAGCAATCAGAGAATCTCTTACACCTTCTATATGTTCTTTACCTATTAATGCACATTGTCTACAAAGACATTGATCAACACTATGATAATTTACACAAGGACCATAAATAGCAAAAATGTCTAATCTTTCTAATGCATTTGAATGTTCTAAATTAGGAGGATATAGAAATTTAAACAGTGTTTCTATGGATACTAACATTTTATCGAATTTAAAATCAGGTATTTTTTGAGGGATTGGGAATTTGAAAATATCTCTTTCTTTATTGGCAGAGAATGGATCATCACTTCCATGAAATTCATTTTTTATTATTGATGTTCCATAAATTGCTCTTAATGATTATGGATCTACCTTCTTAGCTTCAACTGGATCTTTATTTCCAATCATCTTTTTCCATACCATTATAGGATTTTCAGTTTCATGACATAAAAGAAACATTACACATTCACCAGATAACATATATGTCATAATCTCATCCATGTACTTTTATTATTTGTAAAATAGATTTAGCACTTCTTCTCTGTAGAGTTCTCTCAATAGATAATTGTTAAACACTATACTTAAACAAAGTTTTTTATTGTTAATCCAGCTGCCTCAATTTTATTCACTACTTCTTATACTACATTTGGTTTAAGAGTTGTATCAGGTTTAATCATTGCAAAAGTATATGGCAGATTCTCTTGTTTTGGATCAAACAACATATATAATTAATATTTTTATAATATATCAATATTAAAAACATTCATCTAAATCTAGATTTACGTAGTCTTTCTACATGAATGTTAATAATTTATCTAGGAGACTACTATTGTTGAGAACACTAAGAGGAATAAGTTGATCCGAATTAGATATTAGCTTCGCTCCTTTCAGTTTTTAGCATATTTTTTAGACGATTAAAATTTGTCCCTTGCTTTGATAAGGATATGATAGGTTTTTAATTTGAAGGCATTATTTTAATGTAATTTGGTATTTAAATTGGGAAAAGACAATTTGAATGAGTAATTGGAGGATTTAATTAGTAACGATGAGTAAGTGAAATTTATCTTGTAGAATGAAATCGAGTTATCTCTGAATCTAAGTTACTATCTCTATTTTTGGTGATAGGACAGCAAAGTAAAAGAGATTCTGTTGCTTTTCTTCTGAGCAATATTTATTTTGATTATCTTTAAGCTTTCTAATCTGATTATTTTGAGCACATTAATTTTAAATTATGATTTTCTAATGTTGACATAAATTACTATGCACTTAATGTTCTTAATATTGTTTCATTACTTTTACAAATTGCTTTTTAAGTTCTCTTAATTCCTTTCAATACTTCTTCTTCACCAAAAATAGCTCCTTTAGTCATTAAAGATATAACTATTCTTTACCAACTATTTAATTGATATGATAATTCGACTTCTCCACTTAATATAAAATATACAGAATGTGATTCTTCATTCTCTTTATATATTGTACTATTTAATTATGGTGTGAATTCAATCATTTAATGCATAAGTTATGTTAAATGTAAATCAGGAATTCCATGTAAATAAGAGATGTTTTCAAAAAAAGATAGTTACTACTTAAGTATGGAATTATGATGTTCATACAAAATACGATCAAAAGCATTTTTATGTAATATCATGAAATGACAATCAGTGTTACAGAGAATTGTGGCAGTTCTTTTAGATTTGGTAATTAAGGCATAATCTCCAAAAGTATCACCAGCATTAAGATTTCTCACTTTAATAAAGTCTTGATAAACAACCTACAAAAATTCATCAAAGTCTTTAAATTAATTTGGCTTTTCAATTTCTATTCTTTACTGCAATTCTTCAATTGTAACCCTACCATATTTAAGGTCGTCCTAAACATGTGGTTTTGGTAATAGTACATTGACTTATCCCTTTAGTATGATATAAAATGTGGATCCCATATCGCCTATGTTTGAGATGGCAACAAAATACCATAATTGAAAACAGTTTCACATTATTAGACATACTAATAATCAAGGTTCTTATATATTTAAGTATAAAGATAGAGAGGTAATTTAGCTTTCTATTCTTCAAAGAATTTTAAAGTGCCAAAATGTTTCATTAGAAAATCTAACTCAGTTTTAATCAATTGTCCTCTTTTTAATAACTCAATTGCTATCTGATAGATTAGAGAGAGTAAAATACTTCATTGTTATCATTATCGCGATCTGTGATGGAATTCAACTTTCTTTTAATTGATTTTAGCATATAAAATATAATATATGAATATTTTTACTCAATTTTGTGCAACCATGGGAGCTGAGTCTAAGTTTGAGAAAGTAAACACTCAAATTTATACACTCTAAAGGCTAGAATTGCTGCTACCTATACAAATACGAATCCACCATGTGAAGAAGATATTAGATAGATTCTAGCTACATTATCAGGAGAAGACTTACAAACAAATGCATAGACGGCGTATAGTTCCTTAGTGAGAAGATTGAAATTATAAAACAATGATGAAAATGGTTGGATGATGATCATTAAAAGTTTGATAATCATAGATAGGTATTAGGTCAAAAAAATTGAGGTGTGTGAGTGATCGCATTTTACTCAAAGAATTTTAAGATTTAGATTTGCCTTTAATTGAATGTAGATAAGAGAGAGACATTAAAAATAAGTAATTACTCATTAACGAATTAATATCTAAATATTATCATTACATTAAATACAAAGGATTAAAACTTAGAAATTCAACTTCACTAACATTATATAAGAAAGAGAAAATACTCTATTTTAATAAAATGTCACTCAAATCTATTTTTGAAGAATTAAAAATGATATTAGAGTTAGTTTAGAGAGCATTTGATGTTGTGGAAACAAAAAAAAATGGTCATCTACGTTTTAAAGTTAACTAATATGTATTTTTACTACTTATGAATGATTTATTGAAATATTATGGTTGTGGCTTAATTGCATTTAATTTACTCATTAAGAAATTGTAAGAATTACAATCTAATGATCTACTTCAATTGATAGCAATATCTAAGTCCATGGTTAATTTTTCTAATAAATTTGAAGAATTTATTCATTAATGTAGATTTATACAAGGATTTGAAAATGTATAATTAGATTATAAGGTGTAACATAAATTATATATTTATTTATAGGTAGATGATAAAGTTGTGAATCTTGTTTCTTAATATCTAGATTAAATTGAATTATAGAAATCTAATGGTAGCAAATAGATTCAACTCAATCATTATAATTCTTAAGCTGTTCTAGAACTACTCTGTATGTATGCATTTGTAATCATTTAGCTTACCAAAAGCTTACACCAAAATAAAGTGAATTCTTTGGTAATATCATGATTAAATAACCAACCAAAACTCAAATCTTTATCAACTAATTTAAGAATAAATTTGCTGAAGAAACCTTTTAGAAATTTACCAATAATTATTCAACTAAGTATAATCATTATCAAAATTAATATAGATATATGCCTATTCATGAAAATTTTAAAAAATTACCTGAAATAATAGAAGAGGAAGATATTGATTTCTTACAAAAAGTTGAAGATGATCAAAATAAGTTTCATGTTAGAGATGTCATAGATTTACAATATCCTGATCCATTTGATGACAAAATTTTTGGTCAATTTTAAAATATTTTCAATCAATGAATTTAAATTCTTTCAATCATTTATATTATTTTATGAACATTAATTCAAAATAATTTATGAACTCAAAAAATAAGTAGAATAATTAAAAAATAAAATGAGAACTAGAAGATCAACTTCAAGCTTGATTTCTTGTTAGTCTGAAGAAGAATTTATTGAAAAAAATCAGTATGCCTATAAATTTGCTCATCCCAAATTAACATTTAGATAAGTCAAAAACAAATTGCAATCTGAATGGAATATTTTTATTAATAAACCAAAAGTAAATATTTATTATAAGTATTTAGAGATAAACCAAACTAGATGACTTTATCATCTAAATTAGTCCATCACCTAACTCTAAACGCATTTAAAAAAAAAAATAAGAAAATAAACCAAAATTGAAAAATCAAAAGTAATAAAATAAAAACTAAAGCTAAAAGCATTTAAAGAATTAGAAAAATAATTCAAAAAAAAAAAGAATTTCCCCTTGTTCAAAATAGGGTCCCAATATTGAAACTTTTGATTCTGAATCTTTTAAAATAAGTTTGAGTTCATAAGAAGAAAACCAACCTATTTTAAGAGAAAGTCCTATTATTATTTCAACTAATAGTCTCTAAATTTAGAAAGTTAATTAATCACGCCAGAAAAAGAAAATTAATTTAAAAAAAAAAAAGGAAGAAACTAAATCAAATTCCATTAATAATAAAAAGGATTAAAATAAAAATAAAAATAAAAAATAATAAATAAATCTACCTATTAAAAAAGATATTAAAATGAGAAAATTAAACAAGTTAAGCAACTTAAGCAAGTGTAAATAGATTAATTAGCCAGAAACAATTTCTGAATATAAACCAGTTTTGATTTAAGATTTTATCAATTCATCCAAACTATATGAACATATAAGTGTTATTACAGTAAATAAATCTAGAAATGAATAAGGTTAGGTAGGTTTAGATGAAATCAAAGATATAGTCTCTCATACATATGGTATAATTAATCATGAATAAAATACTTCTGAAAATTTGAATTTTTAATTGTTCTTTGAAGTTGAATTTTAACCTAAAGAAAATGGATATATTCCTGAAAACACATTTTGTACTTCTAAATAAGCTGCTTTCTATTGCAAAGAGTAGGTTTTGAAATATATTTCAAATCATAAAGATATATTTACTTAGAATGAGGAATATTATCTGCAATGAAAATTATCAAATTCAAAAATATTGTGCATTTTAAATTTCAATTAATTTATAATAATATACATAGATGTTTTCTATTATCAGTTTATTTTATATACAATTTTAAAGTTATTTTTGGAAACTTAAAATTGATTTAAGATATTCTCTTACTAATATTTAAATAGCTCCATAAACTTTTGCAAATACAGCAAATTTTTTTGTTATTTCACGATCAATGAATGAATGATAAATTTGATTATTTTATTTTTTCTGAAAATCCTTCAAAATTTATCAATTATTAATCAATTATATCTTTGTTTAATCTAATGACAGAAAAAAAATATTTAATAAATGGTATAAAAAAATATAATTTGTATTTCGAGATCAATCTAAATTTCTTATAAACTTAGGCTCTTATCATACATAACAGAAGATTGCAGTGAAATTTATATATAAAAAATCAATATTTGTAATTAATTTTTGATTTTTTTGAAGTTTGATAAATAAATTTTAATTTTAAAATAATAAGATAAAAATTTATCCAATTAGATAATCAGAATTTTTCTTATTAAAATCTTGTCATAAAAGTTAAATATTGTAAAATTTGATTGAAAATAATCATTGATTGATTGATAATTTAGGAAAATTGAATCTAGACTAGAAGATAAAGGATTCAAAAAACATAATGAAAACAAAGAATATTTGATGTAAATAAATTTTAAAATAGAGAAGGATGATCGAAATTCATAAAAATATTGATAATCTTTGAATTGATTTGTAATCAAAATTAGATAAATATTAATAATTAAAAATGTTTGAAAGCTTGAAAAATTGGTTGTTTCATGATGATTAAGGGGATTTTGAGCAATTTAAATAAATGACAAAATAACCAAAATTAAGATTGCCTCCTAATTTTGCTTAATAAATCTTAGACCTAGAATTAGAATTAGAAAATGAAGAGGTTAATTAGAAAATGGTTAATGAATTGTTAGCTTTATATAAAGTAATTTAAGTAAATTAAGGAAGCTAGGCACAGAATATTATGGTTAGAATGATGATAA